ATAACTTAACTAAAAGAACTTCCCTGAAGTATGCTTGATTTCACCAACAATGTCAGCTTTTGCTATTCATCTCCCTAGAAATGTATCAAACACCTTCCATTTCTTCCACACACATCTTTGCCCATGCCTCTTATTTCAGACTTTCCTTTTTGAAATCCCATCACTTCTGCCTCTCTGCTTACAACGTTCTAAGGGCAGCATTAATTTTCCTCTTTTCTGTCACTCAAACTACATATTATGACCACGAAAAGGTCTTATAAAAGGCCATTAGGTTGTGCAAAGATAGGTTTCCTAGTGTACTCCTCTAATTGTCACCTAATGTATCGTTACTGATTATGTAAGACGTGGCAGACAAAATATTAGTCTTGTTGTCAAAGTCTGGTATCTGTTTTATCAAGTAGTAAACTGTCATGTCTTCTGCATTAATATTTTGCACAGAGGTGACTGCTGCACACCACCTAATAGCAAATTTTCCCTTCTCTCTTATAAAGCCACAATTCTTCCCTTTATTTTGCCATTTATCAGGACCTTTTCCTTTGTATACAGTAAGGTAATGTGCCCTGAAGTAGCCCACAGATCACCTGACAGAACACCTATGCTCTTGTTGAATGAGCAATGACTATGGCATCCTTATGATTCTAGGTCTGATGCAGTCCATTATCATTATAGGCTGAAATAGCAGCTGATGTCATTCTCCCTGAAATGTGAGTTAGGAAAAAGCCTGCTCTTCCTTTCTCTGCAGAACATTTTTCATTCTTACTACCAATGTCAAGAAAACAGGAAGCAATGTAAAACTCTTCCAAAGGTTTGGAACTCTGAAGGGTTACAGGAAACGATATTCAGAACATTCATTAGCTCAAACACACTATCAAAAACTGAGGATTGGTAAATTGAGAAATCACCTAACCCGCTTTTAAGTAATGTATCTTATTTCCTTATAAGGGCATCTGAGAGTATACAGACACTATCAGGTCCTTCTGTTCAGCCTGATTTAACAAACTGATCAGGAAGCTCATTTTCCCAAGTTAACTATCTGACAGAAATGTTTTTATTTACTTCTTCAAAAGCAGGCTGTGTCAAGTTGCACTGTATTTTCTCAGTAGCATCTATATATACATGGACAGAAAAAGGTCAGTAAAAACTTTCACACCCACTCAGCTTTTCTGAATTGGGGGGTTTATCTCCTGGGATTTGGCTTGCTTTCTTCAAAGCATTTTCCTGCTTTTTATCTCTTCTTTCCTTCATTTCTGTGTCATAAACGTTAGCGGTTGCAGAGATTTGCATGGATTCTTGCTGAGCAGAACCACTGCACCTGAACCTGGAACAATCCCCAGTCCTGATGGTGTAATTGCCTGCAATGGCTGAGCTATATGGCAAATTGGGATCAGCTCACCAAGACAACCACATCACTATTAAAAAGCAAAACAAACAAAAACCCCACAAACAAACAAAAAAACCCTGAACAAAAACTTTCCAAGTTTCAAAGAGTAACTGCATGACCTTATTTTGTTCAACAGTCTCAGTGGGAGCTGGGGATAACAGTAATCAAGTAATGTGAAGGTAATGTATTTCAAAATATCAGACATGATTATTGGCCCTTTATCCACAGAAACAGCAGACTTAAAGTGAGTAAACAACAGTTGTTAAGCAGTATGGAAAGGCTATTGCTATTTTGCTTGCACTGTGGATATGACTTCTTTCTAATCCATTGTATTCGTTGGAGCTGTCAAGTTGTTTGGGTTTAAGCAGTACTGTTCTATTATTTTCCTTTATGGTTTTCAGAAGAATTCATGCCTTTAGAAAACTCACGACCATCAACGGCAAAGGATATAAATTCTCTTATTCCTCTCTTCAGGAAGAACTCCAAACTTTTATCTCCCTCTGCTATTACTCTGTTTTCTCCATGCTGACTTTTAAAGGCAATAGTACACTTAAAAAGAAAAAAACAACAAAACCCAAAAAGTGAGAGAAGGATTTAGTATTACATGGAGCTTCACTCTTCCTCTTACTGCAGTAACTTGTCCACCAAGTGGTCATGTCTGCACATCCTACATCTGCTTAGGATGTGACCATTTATTAGTAGCAGTTAGCTTTAGTCTATCATATTTTTGTCCAGACTGATCCTTTGTACAACAAATTCCAAGTGGCAGAAATACAGGCAGTGGTACCCTATCCTCTTCCAAAAGGTCTCTCTGCCTGCTAACTGTCCTGTGCTGGGGGAACCAGATGCTCACAGATATTCAAAACAACTGCCAAAAGAGGGAACAAATATACACTTGCTGCTGTGCAGTTTAATTAATCTCATTTGAACTCTTCTGGCAAAGAGAGCAATCAGCAAGGATGTGTTACTTTACACAGCAGAAACAACACAGTATGTACTAGCAAAATGTCATGCCTTTATGATCATAGAAGGCAGCAACCTCATGAAATAAATAACTGCAAGGAAAAAACTGTATATTTCAATTTCAAAGTCAAGTGTAGAGGTCTGTCTTCATGTGAAGATTTGCTATTTTATGTTTATAAAAAAAATTAAGACTGGGTGATATTAAGGCTGGTATTTACACCACTTCAGATTCCATTTAGGCTGCTGTTTTCTGCTGGAAGATAATCTTTAACACCACCCCTCATTAACAGAGAAACATCTAAATTCCTAACTCGGATGTCCAGATTAGAAGGTGTGAATGTGCATTTAGAAAGGAATTAATCAGAAATCACTTTATTTTGGGGAATTTTTATTTAGAAAGTTATAGATCTAAGTAAAAACAGCTGAGTAATCAAGCAAGTCAGTTGACAGAAATATTACACTTGTAATAAAAAAGAACAGAAATCTTTCTTTGGTTAAATGTAAGGCTGAATACAAAAATAAATCAGATGAAGTTTCTGTACAGAAGAAAATACTTTTGGCTATGATAGAACAAGCAACTACAAACATCAACTCAGTTACCAACAGTAAATTTTGACAAATTAACACTTTCAGAAACAAACTGTAATGTTCAGAACTTGGGTTATTCTTTCATAAAGACTTATATATGACTGTTCTGGCATAATGAAGTAACAAGACTGAATAACTGCTTTAAACCACTACAGAAATACTTGGTAAGCATATAACTTATAATGCTCTTACAAAGACATCTCATTTGGCTTTGTGTTTTCACATGTCCAAGTGCTCAGCAACGGTAGATTGCTTTCAGTTGCTGTACAGAACTTCCTACACAAACACTGAGTGGCACAGCTGAAAAAAGTTTTCTCTTATAGATTTACACTTGGTCTTCCCTCTATCTGTATAACTGCAAGTCATCTCCGCTACTGCAGTCTGTCCCTCAGAGTCCCTATCTAATGGTCCTACACAGCTCCCTTCCATGTCCCTACACCATTCTCAACCACTTTCTTCCCTACTATTTTCACTTTCCTATTTTTGGGAAGCTTCATACTTGAACTGAATCATGATGTGGCTAGCTGTGGTCAGCCTACATGTGCTGGGTAGCTCAATATTTAGGATATCACTCAACTCAAATTCCCCTACACTGAAAACAGCCGTCAGTTTAATTTTCCTTACTCAGCAGTCATTGAAAGTTACAAATTTGAAGGTAGAATATAACCCTCATTTGCTTTGGCTGAAAAGAAGAGTTAGAGGCACATGGATGCTGATTTCAGTAGCAACATCAATTATGCTGCCAGGATTGCGTGTGTCAAATGACCTACAGCTGATCAATTATGTTGACTCACTGCACAGTAATTTTAAGGTCTAATTTCATATTAAAAAAATATTCATACAGTTCTATGCGAACTCACAGTTTCAAAACTCTTGTAATATTTGTCCATCTTCACTAGGAATTTGGTCTTGCAGCTGCTTGGGTCTACTTTGGATCTAAGGACAAGAAGAATTTGCAGCGAAGCAGGTTGAAGCAATAGGAAACAGACCTTCAGGACTCTTTTCCAGACTTCAACCTTTTCCTCTAAGTAATGGATAAGGCTTTTGTTGTTATGGAAAGCCATAAGATATCCCCTCTTACAAGAAAAGAAGGATTTGATCTTGGAAGACAAGATCTGCCAAACAAATGTAATAGTTACTCAATCTATCTACATAAGTCAATTATTAATGTTTGTTATTAAAACTAGTTTTGTGGATCCTTACACTTAGCTCTAACTGCTTTTGAAGGAAATATCTTCAGAATTGTTTTCGGCCCTCATTTGGTATCACTTGGCTTGACGGAAGTAAAAAAAGAAAATCATTGCCCAGAGTTTTGGGGTCTTTTTAAGCTGCCAAATTTTTGTTCCACTGAAGGCTATGTCTGCAAAATAAAACTGATCATAAAAAGAATGTTTTTAACGTATATCATACAGATTTCTCAAAAGATAAATTTCAAGACTTCCAGGGGTCCCTGGAATTTCTGGACCAAAATGAGTAGGGCTTATGTCTTTGAATTTCACTATAAACTATGCCAACTATTTAATATTTCTCATTTAGTATTATTTGTTAATTTTCATCTGTAGGACAACCCAAGAAAGTTTGAACCTAGACAAACACACACAGAATAAAACCACTCACCAAGATGAAAAAAATTACTTTTAAATCTAAAAGTAAACACCAAACCCCTTGCAGGCATGGCAAGCAGAACATGACAGAGGCAGGTCAAGACAAAACTACTAGTTCAATAGCCAATTTGACCAAACCAGTATCAATCCTGATAGATCTATGATGTGCTGCTTCTGAAGTCCACGCTTAAGGTGGGGTCTCCCTGCCTTCAGTGCAGCCTTACTTGCTAATACCAAAACCCCATCTATTCATGTGACTTGCCTATGTTAATCAAGACTTCATACCGGAATTTCAAGATCAGGTAGGAATGCTAAGTGAGGGCAGAAAGACGTTGTTACCACTTTTGATTAAGAGATGGGCTTTTTTCCGGACAGTATTGAGTCTCATTTTCAACTGCAAAATGTATTACTGCTGTTTTATTCAGAATCTAACTCTTGGATCTGTAAGATTAACTTTTTTACTACTGAACTTCCTATAAGAAACAACTTTCTACAAACCTAAAATGTGTCAAACAGTATACAGAAGTCAACCTTTTAAAACTGGAAACATTTACTTGCTGCAACAAAAATGCCACTGTATCAATGACAAATTCATATCAAAAAATGTAAATGCATTCTCATTTTTATAATGCAGAGAAACTCCAAGGCAAAATACAAAAACCACAGTATCTAATCAAGGAAAATCTTTACCAGTTTTCATTTCTTACAATCATCTCACACTTATATACTTCTCATTGTGGTTTATTTCAACTTTAACTTGTAGTTCTTAAAGCTGAAAAATTAAATATGAAAAGCAGAATCACATAGACCAGACTGAATTTTGTCTCCCATCTGTAACAAAACAGTCAGTGCTAGGCTTTTTTTCAAATGTGTGAAAACAAAACAAAAAACATAAAGGAAGGAAATTAAATCCATTTTATCTCTTCTGTTCCTTTATGCTTAAAGAAAAATGACCAACACAAAGAAATGCTATTCAGATGGTTTTTTTCCTTTCACTTTCTTAGGGAGTCTGCAAATGCTGCCTGTTTTTTCTTTATGTTTTCATTGAGAAAAGAAATTTTCCTGAAGGCTTTACTTTTCCCTCATCAAAATACAAGTTTTACTTATTTTTCTTCTGGATTAACAAGCAAAATCAACTAAAGCAGCAAACTGTTTTCCTATTAGCTGAATACTTTTCAATTACTGGATGCATAATGTAACTAAATGGTATTATGGGAACTCACTCTTCTAAAGCAATACTCTAAGTCATTAACAGCAGTGGTAGAAGTTTTGTGTAAGAGAACTTGTGGTATTCACGTTGCTTTATTCTACTATCCTCAAAATTTTAGCTGCTCAAGACCCTCTCTGTGCTTTGCAAGGAGTTTAAAGAACAACACAGTTTGCTGAAAGAAGTAGAAGTACCAACAAGGCAGGATGTATAATCAGAACCATGTAAGTATATTCACCAAAATTCAGTGTTCTGTATAAATTACAATCACAAAAATGGTTTTCAGTCCCAGATAGTGCAAGCATAAGAAATTATTGCAGTCACAGTCTGAGAAAGTACTGTATCCCCGTTACTTCTTTCATGTACTCAAATATCTGATCTGTATTAAGTCTTTAGCCTACTATGAAGTACAGTATAGTAGCATTCAGAATGAGGCTACAAAAGAAGACGTTTTACTGTTCAGAGCAAATTGCAAAACTGTTAATGTTTCATATAAATTATAATAAAGATTTCCCTCTCACCATTTCTTTGGTAAAAATGACTGTGTCACATTTGTTTCATCAGATAGTAAAAGGTATTTTCTTTGGTGGAAATACTTTTTTGATCTTACCTGTCCAGCTTTATAAAACACATTCTTATATTAACCATTCATTCAGTGAATACAAGGTTAGTTCCAGTTTAAGACACAAAATCAAACAGATCAGTCACACTAACAGAAAACCTAAACACAGAAAACTTCTAGTAGTAAAAAGACAAAGAGTGTTACAGACAGCAAAAGTCTAAATGCAGTACATCAGATTATCATCTCTAAAACATGAGCAGTTTCACAGCATCTTTTTTCTCATAAGCACAGAGGACTTTACTTAGAAATACAGTGTATGTTTAAAATGCATAGTCGCATACATCTTCTGTAGCTTTGTGATGATTTCCACTTCTGTTGGCTTAAGTCTCCTGCAATAAAAAAGAATAAACACATTGCATTATAATAGGAAGTCTACTATTTTGCTGCTTAGTGTTTTCCCATATTTGTTTGAAAATAAACTTCATTCTGCTCCTCCCCCCACCCCACCACTGAGAAGGCTGGGGTGCGTCCAAGGAGTTGGGACAGCCAGACTAGCCGACACCAGCTGACCACAGGGATATTCCATCCCATTTGGCATGATTTTCAGCATATAAAGCTGGGGGAAGAAGGGGAAATTCAGAGTGATGGTATTTGTCCTCCCAATTAACTCAAGAAGCTATTATGCAAGGTGGAGCATGATGGAGCCCTGTTCGTCCAGAGATAGCTGAACACCTGTCTGCCCTTGGTAAATAGTGAATGAATCCTTTGTTTTGCTTGTGTGTGCAGCTTCTACTTTCCCTATTAAGCTCTCTGTATTACAGCCCACGCAGTCACTCACGTTTACTCATCTGATTCTCTCCCCCATCCCACCAGAGAGCAAAAGTGGCTGCACGGGGCTTGAGTTGCCAGCTGGGGCTAATCCTGAACACTTACGGGAAATGTTAAGTCAGAGCAATCAAAAGTAAAATAACACGCAGGAAATTGAGGAGACAATATTTTCTTGGAACATAATTTTCTTGTTTCCTGATTTGTTACTCTCTTTACATGAGTTTTACCTGACATTTCTCTTTCTGTTCTTTAAAACAAAGGGTATGGGAACAACCTTTATTCAAGTAGACAGCTTGAAATGAGGATAAACAGTATCAGAGCAACTATTATTTTGTGAATGCAAAGTCATTCACAACTGTCATCTACAGATGAGAGCTTGGGGTGCCAGATGCAGAGGGGAAATAGTGTAGGAGTGGTCCTCGACTGACAGACCATCCTTTGACAAGCATTTCCAGCTAGCATAAGCAGCCTATAATCAGACTGTAAACCGGGTAGAGAATCAGAAAGTTCATTACATAGTTTTCATAGGGCTACATACCCTCTGCTTCCTTATTCTACCACTAATCCTTTTGAGTCACCATCTATTAAGCTCTTTTTTCCCTAGACTGCTCTAATCCCTGCTTCATCTCTCCAGTACTATCACATTCCCTACTTGCTATTACACTTGGATCCTTCCTCCATGAACTCACTCAACATCCAAAATACAGCCTGAAAGAGCAGGATTTTGAATACAGTAGCAATTCTTATGAATCTCAGCTCCTATCCTGGCATTCACGGGACTGTTTCATGAGCCAAGCAGCTAGGCAGGTTAACCTGGGTCCCATTTTTAAAACTGCATGGGTTAACAGAACTATTAAATCACAGTGACAACAGAATAGAGTTAAAAGAATTTGGACTTGCTTTCTTACTTGACTGTACGTTGTTTCACCTAAACAATGGTTCAATTACTATACTGCTACCACACAAAACCCAGATTGGGATGGCACAGTGGACTTCTTTGTCCTAGTATTAGGCTGCTCAAGAGAAAGGAAAACTCTGGTCTCTGTTTCAACTCTTACCTTTTCAGGAACTGGATTAAATTCTTCCGTGGCTAGCACTACTGCCTTCACCTGATTTACTAAAAGAAAAAAGAGGCTGAATTCCAAAACCCATCTTTAGGTGGAAGATACCACAATTATTCCAGTCCCACGGCCCAACCAGAGTACATCTCAAATGCATTAGATTTTCTCTTTCAGCATGTGAAGAAAAAAGATTAGAAGAAATTAAGCAACCAAAATACTGACTCAAAGTCCTTCAACCAAGAAGTGAAGACTCAACTCAGTCACTCCCAAAAACTCCACAAAACTATGGGCAGAAGTTAGAACAGTAATAGCATTCCCACATGATTCCTGCACTATCATTTCATTCAATGTAAGGAATTTGTATTCAAAATGAATACTCAAACAATATACAAGCAGTATACCTCAATGTTCTCAGAACATGGAATGGAACAGACATATGATTACTCCTTCCAGAGCAACTGCAACTAGTTTACGGTGTGGATCACAATCAAGACTTGAATTAAAAATTCTCTTGCTAAAAAAAAAATTTTGTGAATCATTATGTTGCCACCTAAATATATAGTTGGATGTGACATTTAAATTATAGCCTCATCAACCAAGTTCAGGTGTACTAGTCATCCCACACGTAACAGAAGTGTTCCTTTGGAGCCATAAACCTTAATTCTAAACAGCTAACAGTTTAAGTAACATTCAGTTCTTGAAATCAGAGAAGTACATAGCTAAATAAATTTTCATCTTATGTTTTTATCTAAGATAGAATTCCACAATAAAGATTAAGCAGAACCACATCCCGCAAGCATTAAAATATTATTTTAGTGCACTAGTCTTTCTAATAATCATATTTTAATACAGTTTCTGTGAGTTTACAAGAAGAAGGGCTGCACATAAGCGCAATTATTCAATTTTCAATCCAAGACATATACCCAAATATTGAGCCAAGTAATAGCATACTATATTCCCAAGACATACTGCCACTTTGTACTATAATTGAGTTAGAGCTTTAAATCTGTTCAGATAAGGGGAAAAGCAGCAAAACGTATTTTCAGCTTGTGCTGGCAAAAGGAATGAGAAAGTGAATGCAACACAGGGAAACAAAGGTGACTGCAGAAAAAAAAATTCAAGGAGGGAGGAAAAAAGAGCTGCTCAGAAGAAAAGGGGAGATAAACACAGGAGAGAAGCAACAGAGGGGAGAAAAACTACAATAGACTGAACAGATCTAAAAGGAGAAACTTTCCTCTTGTTTTAGGGTGTGTACAGGCCAGATGAGGCAACTGGGCTTCAGAAGATGCGTAGGAAGTAGAGCACATTTTAGCAAGCAAGCCTATAGGCATGCACCATCCTATGGATGGGGGAGTCAGCATGGGAGCACAGACTCTCAAGCAGCAGAAGAGCAACCCAAGTGCCAACACCTGCTCCTTTGTTTCCAGCAGTGCAGCCAGTCCTGTGCCCAGGGTGCCCAAGTTATCAGCACCATGCAAGATCACCTCCGAGCAGTTGGAGTCACCCACTGAAACAGCCAACAAGGCCAGCTCCGAACACACCCCCGCAGCTACAAGCTTACCTAGGGGAGTCAGGGCTTCGACCAAGGGAAAGGGAGAGAAATGTATGTTACTATGGACAAATTTGTATTTTAAAAAAATTCTAAGCCTCTTCTGGGAAATTTCCATATGAAAGTTATTTCCTTGCAATTTACAGTCATAATGAGGACAGATGGTGCTCTCAATAAAAAAAAAAAAGTAAAAGAGAAATAGCTTCATCTCCAAATCAAGTGCCAGGTAGAAAATAGAGTTCTACTCACTTTGGAACTAGGAATTCTTGAGGAAAATAATAAAACTGTACTTCCACATTCATCATCATCCCTTACCAACCAAGTCAACAACAAAATATAACTCTGTACATCAGTAATACACAAAAGAAAAAATATTTAACTACAGTATAGAAATTCTTTACTTACAGTTGCTCAGTTTGGTCACATGCTTTTTCACCTTCAGCAGAACAGATAAAAAAGGATTAAAATCGCAATTTAATAAACAATAGAGAAATTCTGATTTAGTGTATTGTTTACTCATTTTTTAATTAAAACAAAATCTTGGTTTTTCACTTAATTTTCTTAAATCTGTAATTCAAATTATCTTGTTTCTCTGCTCAGTGAAATTACCTCCAAATTTGTCAAAAAGCTTATTTTGATAATGTTCCATTAATCTGATTTTAATACAAAATATATTTTATATGTTTTATATGTTTACACATTCCTATATTGTAAAATATTGATACATGCATGTATGCATTAAACACACATATAAAAATACTTTATAATTTCTCTTTCATCTTGCATATCTGGTTCTGCTGACCCCTAGTTTGCCTTAGGTTCAGCAACCAGCATTCTGGCTTAATGCCCTTTTCCTTCTTACTTTGTTTCTTTAAACAGATTTAAAGCTACTATGAGTTGCTTCCATTCCTAAGCATTCCCTAAAAAAGTACAGCCTCTAAATTTCCTTGTATTCTAAAGAAAAAAAAATCAACACTAAATCAAACCCTTTATGGGAAAATATTGCTTATTGAATGCACTTTGCATTAGATTTAAGACTCATGGAAGAGATTTAAATATCTAAAATAATGAATGCTGTGTTCTAGAAAAAGTATTTTATCACAAAGAAATTATGTAAAATTCACATTAAACTTAATGTATAAAGTGCTGTGGTCATACCTTTGGCTGCAATTTCAATGGAAAGCTAGAAATCATTAAAAAAAACCCTGAACAACTTACCTGTACATTTTCCTTTCCTTTTCGAATACAACTCATAAAGGATAATGGTAGTTACCAAAATAAGAACTTCAGCCACAATTGCTACAAAGGGTTTGAGAGGTGCCATGATGGACAGAACATTAAGTTTCATCTTCTTTTCACTTTTCCCTAACTTGAAAGCAGCTTCACACCAATAGACACCAGCATCTTCCTTGGTGAGCTTGAGTATCCTCAGACGGGTTACATTGGCAGACAGTCTGTCAGTCAGGTACTTGTCTGTCCTCAAAGATTCATTAATGACAACCTAAAAATAAAAATACATTACATGTCTTATTAATGTAGTAAGTGCTTAGTCAAACTATATCATGGACAAATAGTTCTATACAGAGATGTAAAAGGGGAGAGGAACAAGTGGCAATCGTGACACGATTACTTCACCTCCAAGAGAAGGATTTATTTTAGGTGGCCACCCTGGTTCCCTTTAGATTCAAAGGAAATATGAACTTTCAGTGGGTTAATTGCATTTTTTATCTCAAGTCAGCTAAAAGATACCTTTGACTCTCTGACGACAAAGGCATCCTCAGGTGCCAATATCTAATGCACAGGTTTCACCGCAGCGCAAAGCATAAACTTTCATGGGCACTGAAATGTGAACACTGGGAAATACCCTGACAGTCTCACAAGTTAGTGCTACTCTCCAGCAGTACAATGGAAATAAATCTTTAACTCCTCTCAAGAGCCCTCAGAAAAGGGCTAGAACCCAGTGGCTATACTTCCCTGGGAGATCATGAGGCCGTGAAACAGAATTAGTTGTCCCTGGAGGAGAAAGAGAAGGGACATACTTGTGTCCTCTGTCAGTCCTACAAGATCTTACAGGCCTTCAAAAGGGTGTCCCACCATAAGATTTCTTTGTATCAAGTGGTAAGATTTGAGCAATATAGCCATCATAAATACAGCAAAACCAAGTCTCCCAAGACTCGCCTTATTTGTTTTACTCTTATGTAGTCTACAGGAATATGGCAGGGACTTCTTGGAAAGGAAACATCAAACAAACCAGAAAAAAATCTACATCCCAGTAACAGTGATTACTTCTAAGCATCACATATTTTTTTCCACATACAGACTTAACATTAAAGTTAATGGGAATGCAGTTTGTAAAGCCTTCAATCAAGAGCTATTATACTTTACACATTGTCTATACTTTGCCACACTGTTTTGCCTGGCCAACAGATGGAGACCTTACCAGCTTACTTCCACTCATCATATACCAGGTCCAAGCCATGGGAGTAGAGTCAGTTTTACAAACCATTACAGCTGTATCTCTTTCATAAGTGATTAGTTTTTCTCTTGCTTCAATTTTCGGTACTAAGAACAAGAAGGAAAAATTCATCAAGTGAGAGGTACAGGTTTGAATTAGTATTACAAAAAGAATATATTCAGTTATGTATTTATAGTAGTCTATTCGCTCCTCTTTCTCTTAAACACAGATGATTCTATCATTCATGACATGACGTAAATGAGGAGTCATTTCATGCTGATATTTCATATACAGAATTTGTAAAGAAGACTACAGGAAACCTTTTCTCAGTTGCTGTGCGATCTCTGCTGTGCCAATTAATACCAAATACCAAGTGATAATCAGATTGTGGTTTCTACCCTTGCCCATTTCCTCCTTACCTTCCTTGACAGCTGCAAGCTACATGCTTCAGTTTTAGTACACTAGAAACAAACACAGAATTTTCCTGCAATTTCACTCAATCTACAACAACTGACAGAAGTCTATTCCAGCCACAATGCAACTAACATAATGGTATCTGGCAAGTTGTGCATGCAGAGAACTTTTCTAAAATTAAGACAAAACTGCGAATTGAAGATTTGTAGTTACAAATAATTACTGAGCTGAAGCAATGACTTTTTGATGCATGACAATAAATAGGATTTTTTACCTTATCTTGCTGAGGACAGAATACAGCCAACAAGGAACAAGACATCAGTTTAACTTCAGAGCTACTTTCCCAAACCATTTTAATTGCAGATGTCCTACAAGCTTTCAAAAGCCCAAAAAGGCTGTTGAATGTATTGAGGTTATCCAACAGATACTGTCAGTGCTTAGCAATTACATCATGCTAAAGTATGTATTTCCCCTCCCCTCTCCTTTCCTTCTTTATTAGGATGTTCACCAACATGTTTTCCTCAGAACCAATTATTTTTAAATTTTTCTTAAAGTTTCATTGCTCTACTTGGTACCTGCAGATCCAGTAAATACTTTAAATTATACTGATCACACTAAACAGGCCAAGTACTTGCTTTCAGCAGTTATGATGAAGTTGATACAAACTAAGATTGTTCTTGGTCCCCCTCTTCTTGACTACCCGAGTACTTTATTTTTCCAAAAAAAGCTGACTTCTCATGTATTCAAAGTTAAGAGTTTCCAGTCCAGAAACATAAACCAAATTTTTTAATAAGCACAATTGCTTTCAGCCTCATTTGCTGCACAATACATCAATCCAGCCTCATTACTAATGAAGTCTCACTCCATGTGTATGTATTATCAGTGAACACTACCCATAAGAATACTGGCAGAGTATGTTCACTGCTATGAGTAAAAGGGACAACCTCACTAATAACTGCTGCCACCTACCCTGCAATTTAGAGAAGAAAAAGACAAAAGAAGGTTGGGGTAAATAAAAAAAAAAAAAAAAAAAAGGAATAAGAGGAAACAAACAAAACCCACATATACTACCCAGCACAACAAGCTTATGTGATAGGCAAGAAGATTTAGCCATGCTGATCAGTGGCAAAGCACAGCTATAGGTATACCAGCAATACATGTGAGCACATTAGCCATGATTAAGGATTTGAATATCCACCATGGATCCACCCATGCTTATGGATCGCTGAACAAAGGGCAAACACAAACAAGTCTGTTCTACCCTTTCACAAGCTTGCAACACTTCTCAACACTTAAGAATACCCATGGGATGTTCTCTGTGTTCAAAAATTTGAACTTCCTCTAAATACCTCGTTGTCTGAAGACATGAATAAAAACCTAACTCCCCAAAATCTGCAGGGTTACATCAGGCCAGGAAGCAGGGGGGAAAGGAGAGGTAACACATTCAGTAATGCCAAACTGCCTAGTGAAAGAGCTATTGCAGTTAGTTACAGCAGTGATGACTTTAGCCTCTGAGCTTACACCAACACATTACTCATCTTTCAGTCTGAGAATTGTTCTCCCTGCATTATTGACTGGAAGATTCAAGGACTTCTCTCTCCCATTTCCTTCTCTCTTGCATTAATCATAGAAAGTGTCAAGCCGGTACTTTTTACGGCATCAGAAGTGGTGGCATTCAACCACTGTGAAGCAATTCTCCTATGTTCTTATAATAAATCAACCAGTCCTATGCAGTGTTCTGGAAAAGATGACTTCCGTATTGAGTCATTGCTGCCCTTATTGAAATAGATATTGTATACTTTCCAAAAAAAAAAAAGTCTCCTTAGACGTTTTTTTTTCATCAAAACAAACAAGGTTAGCTATTCAACTAAACCTTACCCACATGCTGACAGGAAAAATACATAATCATTTTCATAGATTAAAAGGCTTGAATAAACTACAATTTTGTCTTCATTCAGTATTACAAGCTAGTCTCCCCTGGCTGTAAATCTGAAACCAGGTATCAACATTAAAGATTTGAGCACACATGAGATTTGCTGAAGTCATATTACCAGATGCCCCACTGAACAAAGGCGGCTTGCAACACTAAGAATAAAAAAGCCCTGCTAGTTAAAATTAGGTAAAGATATTGAAGGGTTGGGGTTTCTCAGAGTCTGTGGTCAGAGAAAAACTCTCATGTACGAGCCTGTAGATCCTTCACAGATTAAATGCTTCCCTTGCTCTGTGCAAAACTTGGGTAGTGGGAACAGAGAAGGGAATAAGTCTCTTGTGAGAGTTATCCATCATAACAGCAGCTTGTATTAGTTTCCTTTCCACACATCTTCCACTCACCTAACAGTGTCAGGGGTAACATTACTGGAGAAGAGAACAGAAGAAAGAGCACTCATACTGCCCCCAGTGAAGCACCTAATTGTTCATATAAGTGCTATTCTTACAAAGAATAAAAGATGCGCTAAAGCAGTAATTTACTGTTTCAGAAACATAACTGAAATTTTTAAAATACCTGCTTCTATTCTACCAATCTTTGCTTCACATTTAACACCACACCTCAGACCAAACTTTCAAGTTACTGGCTCTGCTCTTTGAAGAATTTATCTGAGACATATCCTTTATTCCCATCCCCCAGAAAGTGAAGACTTTTTATTCAGGCTCTAGGGATGGAGAGGTAAAGAGGGATCAGTTACTCATTAAGGGAAAAAAAGCAGACCTGTATGTTCTTTTGGTTGTCAGAAATTTTTTTTTAAAATCTTTTTAGTTTTTGCTACAGAATTAACTTTGAAAATAATTCTCACTTAGCTTGACCTTATTAGTCACTGCTTATCAAATTAAGTTGCAATGTCCATACTACCTAGAAGCCATATTAATATAGGTTTGCGGTGCTCAGGCGAAACAAAAATTTAAAATCAATACAAATTCATTAAATACAATTACCGTGTAAATGAAATGTAGCACTGATTTCTTCTTCACCTTTCAGAATACAACTGTAACTTCCCATCTTACTGCTATCCACAATCACCAATCTTAAAAAAAAAAAAAAAAATCACTCATTTGCTTTTTGCATGTATTTTCTTTTGTCCTGCAACTATCAGTGACTGCTAATTAGCATTCTAAAGAAAACAGTAAGGATTAGTAGCATAGAACATACATCACTGAAACACTAGGATTCAGGTTTAGTGCAGTGCAGAAACAGTATGACATTTTTAAGAAAAGAGAAGACCTTGTACAACCACACTTGAGAACATAATCACTTTCACTCTTCATGGTCATAGAAGGCCAAAACATCTTTAAGCAGTATGATCTGTAAGTTACCAAATGAGAATCAGGCTCACCATGTCAACTATTTAGCATGTCCTATGTAGGACTTTAGGAAGAACAAACCATGGAAGTAATCTCCTCTGAAACCAGTTAGTTCAACACAAAAAGGCGTTTTGAAGATCTTCCACCTAATAGTGTCCAGCTTCTTCTCCACTGGCAAACTATAGGTTTCACTAGCACTTTGAAAAAGACCTGCATGGTTGTGCTTGTGTATATGAAATATCAGAAAGTGACACTGTCATGGTATTTTCTATCATAGAAATTTTATGAAAGCTTTATTGCTGTTAAGAAACCTAAGCTATATAGAAATGGAGACCACCTGGTTAAAAATGTGTAAACAGCCTAATTTTAAAGAACAGCAGTAAACTGCATTACTTGTAGATAGGTTTCTATAACATCTGAGTTTCTGTAGAGGTTTGAAAGAGTTAAGAAAGCCTTCAAAACATCTTTAGTGTGATGATGACTTCTTCTGTTTTGCTAATTATGAATGAAAGAATCTGGCCATTGATGCTTTTCAGACTTCTGCAAAGCAGTAATGAGGTGGAAAAAACAAATGTTAAAAGAGAAATTGCTAAAATACCTCAACCTCAGACTGATATCACTACTGCACTTACTGGACAGAACTAGTCAACTTCAAAGAACTGTGTCCTTATTTATGTTGTTTTCTTTCATTATGTTCTTTTTTTTTGTTTTGTTTGTTTTTTTTTTTCCCAGCACTAGAGGAAGAACAGGAGTTCCTCCTCCAGACTTGAGGTACCTGCACCCTTTCTCCTTTCTTGCACCTTCAATATGATTATCTTTGCATTTGGCTCTTTTGCAATATATACACGACTGACATTGGGCAGTTTATATACATGTGATAACCCTTTAGAGCCTGCAATTACACTGTCAAGAATGTCACTTACTTGATGCTCCAGCTGTTCTCAGTTTTACTGGTGTGACTGATTGTTTCATTTCCCCTTTTCCAAGTCACTTGAGGCCTTTTCAAACGAGAATTTGGATCTAATTTACATGACAGTTCAACTGTAGTTGCATTAGCCAAACTGATATTTCTTTCCAGTAAAGTACTAGGAGGACCTAGAAGAAGTTTAAAAAAATTTTAATTAAAAAACCCCCATATTTCATGCTGGGGGAAAGAAGAGATTGGAAGACTGGGTTTACATGTGCAGGATTACAGCTGAATACAGAGCACTACTCATACTTTACAGGGTAAAACAAAAACTCTGCAATATAGCTCAGTAATGTTCTTAAGCCACATTATCATACAAATTCATTAGAAATACAACACACTCCATTTTGTAGGTAAACTTCCTAGTTTACCTATAAAGGGGTCTAATATAGAAATACAGATAATGATTTCACTGAAAGCAAGGTAAATTCATGTGTTGACATGATTTAATCCCAACAAAAAACATTAAGTATGTAGTAAGTACATATAAAGTGAAATTAATGTCAAGAAGAGTAAGCCACAAATATCTATAACCCTCTGGATTTTAGACAGTTGCAGATTTTTACGATACTGAGAGCACAGCCATATCCTAATTGTAGGGAAGTTGCTGATAAAATCCATAGCCCTAACACTGTTGGATCACAGTTGGATCTGGTCTTTCACACTACAGATACTCCAGCTGAAATCAAATCATCTTCAAACCAGTCTATGGCTGCCTTTGCCTTCCTGACAAGTCAGCAGAATTACAATGTGAAAACATTCCAATACAGTAGAGAAACATGATAGGTTTTTGCTTTTAACAAAGTTCACACATATCCAAAAAGTAGACTTTTTACAGCAAGTATCTTCTGACCCACAGAAATGGTCTTTTATAAGAAAACACATTAGACATTGTACCTGTTAGCAATGACATTTTATTCTATAATTGGCCTTTTCTTTCATGCCTTCTAGATAGAAGTGTGGTTAGTCCATCTGAATTCTCTATGAAAATTTATTCCCAAGCATCACCCCAATCCTAGACATACCATGCAGTACTTGATGGTCAAGAAAGTGCAGTTGTATTTCACAGTTTGCATTCTTTCCAAGACAAAAGGAAGCTTTAAGATACAGCTCACTGTCTTAGTAATGCAAGTCATATGTAGGCCACAGCAAGGCCTGGATGAAGTAGAAGCACCAGATACTTCCCACTACAGAATAAGTGAACTTGACTGCATCCGGCAGAGAAATTTATAACCTGAAGAACAGCTCCAGAACTTCAAGTCCCAGTCAAAATATTTCAGACCTGTTGAACTGGAGATAAACTTAGAAGTGCAACACCTCAGCCATTTATAGCAGAGCAAAGTCAGTTATTGAAACATTTATTAGAGCAATTACACAGTAAATGAATCAAGCATAACTCTGTTTGTTGAGGTTGTTTATGATCAACTTTTACAAATGTAATTGGTTTCCCAGCAGAAAAAGTCTTAGGGTCGATTACACTGGCTAAAATAGAATCTGTACCTTTTGAGATTATTTTAAAGCAACCCTTTAAATGAACAGAACAAAGAAACGCTACGATATTAAAGATTAACCACTAGTAAGACTAACATCTTGGGCAACCCTGTACCAAGAGTGCACATACCATAACAGGAAACAGACATTACCTTAAGTTTCCTGCCAGAATAAAATACAGCATAAATGCCGCACAATTATATTCTTAAAATATCATGCCAACACTTTGCAAAACTTTGAGATTTCACTTTTTCCAGTTGTCCAAGAAATTAATTATAAAATATTATTTGGCAACTGGGAACTTCACATCTTCTTTAGGAATGGGTTTAATCTTACCTTTTCTCCATGCTTTAACTCCTATAATGCTGCTAAGCTAACACCTGCACCCTAGCTTATAGGGTCTCTCTGGATTCACTGGTGCAAAAGAATTGTTGCTTCAATTGATGTGGAGGAAGAGATAGCTATGAATTGTATTTACTTGCAGTTTTAATAAAGAATGTAATACTCTACTGCAAAATAGTTGTTAGAACACAATAGTCAATGGTAGTATAAACTTATTTTTATTCTTTTACTGAGCTCATCACGTGCTCACTCTGAGTATCTGCACTCCTACAGCTCACATGAAAGACTGTGTGTAAGCACAGGCACTGGCTATAAAATAATGGAAGACAAAAAATAACACACTCACCAGGAAGGAGTATCTCAGACTGCACAAAAGAGCCATTAGACTGGTGCTCCTTGCTTGGTTGCTTGAGATCTTGTGTGGTAAGACCTGGACCTAACAAGGTTTGGGGCAAAGTAACATAACATATTATCCTATATAAGTAATCACACAGCAGCATGTCAGTAAGGTAGTGCAATCATTACTTACAGCAATCACAGGGGGCGAGGGGGGAATAACCTTGCCAAATGCTGAGTACTAGAGATCCTATTTTATACCTTGTGTGTTAACAGTCAGAATCTTAAAGCAGCAGTATTGTGGGGTTGCTGTTACACCACTTATGCTATGCTAGAAGATGGTTTCCAGCTTTAATGCTGTGACTGTGAATGTCAATACTCTAAAAATGTCATCACTGTTTCACAGTCTGATTCAAAAAGTCACCTATAGCTTACAGATAGATCCTAGAACCATACAGGACTACATCCGTGTTTAAAAAGTTCCTGAAAAAGCAGTAAGCTTTAGAAAAACAAAGAAACAGAGGGACAGAACGCTGCCATTCCCAAAACCATTACTATTTTCTTATACAGCCAGGAAGTCTAGGCAAGAACACCACTAGAACATAGAGATCCTCACTGCTCCACAAAACTTCTGTTGTCCTATCCAGGAAATGTGCTTCCACACATGCTTTTGGAAGAATATCACATGAACAATATCAATATCAATCATCATCTGCAGGACTAAAAACTACTCCTTTTGTAAGGAAAACCTACATTTAAAAGGTTTACTATGGTCTGCAAAATCCTTTTACAAAAGGGCTATGGATCACATACTCTTCAGAGAGATCCTTTATAAAGCCCTACAAAGCTTGATACAGAAACTGTAAGCACAGTCTGTTCCCATCATTTGTTCATACACTTGGTGCATTTCAAGAACAGAAAAAAACTACAGATTAAATTAAATTAATAAACTCCAACAGATGTAGACAACTACAATAACCTTTTAATTTAGTGATGAAACAAAAGAAATAGATTTCCCCCACTCCCACTAGGCACACCAATCATTTTAAGCTGCATCTTACATGCTTGAAAATAATTTGTCAGATATTTCATAATGCATTGCAGAAATACATGAACAGTAATTACTGCCAAATCATACAGCATGAAAATTATTCTGGATTCTGTAGAAGGAAAGGGGCTTCATAATCTCTTCTGCCCATGGATAGAAAAGATGCCTACTGACAACTCAGAAAATAAGAGGAACTGGGCTGCAGCATTAGTCTTCTTCCTGAGAGAAGCATGGGGTGGCAGAATTGATCGCTGTGCAATAGAAATAGAACCTCTGAAAGCCTAGATCTCCTCATAATTACTCCTTCTCCCTTCCTGAATAAAATAAGGAACTTTCAGGTAAAGTTCTTAAACACATGCCTCTCAGCTCAGTGCTGACAGTGGTTCCTGCTAGGAGTTTGCATCTAAAGGCATAAGCAGAGGTACCACATGGCTTTCAAGTTGTTGGGTAATTTCAGAAGGCATCATGCCAGCTCATAGCACAAGGAATGCTGTGCAACAGGCACTCAAACCTTTTGCCTGGCTTGTTCCATCTGCACTTTCATACCTTCCGTCACGTTTCAACCAGTGTAAGTAAAAATAAACCTATATACTAAGGTGGTTGGTGTGGAAGAACAGGGCATGTTGTTAACAGTAGACTGTTCTCAATCTCAGTTAGCAGTCCAAAATGACTTTTCAAGCAAAGGAATCAAAGCTGTCCCTAGCACTAGTCGCTAAGTCCTGCTGCTCTAGCCAAGAACACAAGCAAGCCTTGGTTTCTACCCAATGGAGAAAAAAAACAAGTCCAGTGTTTACCCATGAATCAACATATAAAGGCTGAAAGAGTTCTGGCAAACCTTAGCCTGTCTGTGTGCACAAACACTGAAAACATGCCAAGGCATGTTGGATCACCTGAGTTTCTGTCAGTCTAGTACATGCATCACCTGGTTTGTTATTAAAATCCCTCATGACATGTTCAGAGGGCACCAGTGCCAGTTCATATGGGAGTTGTTACCCATCCACAAAAACTAGACAACCTTTAAAGTGTCTTGCACTCCAACACGATTTTCATACCTTTTATCCTCAATTCACATAGCAAATGAAAATAGACAGGTGAGGTCATATTATATGAAATACTTCCTGTATCTTAGCTTGTACGTCCATTTGTGTTCATGTATGTAGAAGTTACTGAATCTATTAGCTATTGCACAGAGTTACAAAGCTCTGAGGATGAACAGAAGATAAATAGCATTATCTCAAAAAAAAAAAACACCAAACCACAACTGCAGAGGGAGTAACTTGTCATAACTTGATTGAGTTTATGTACAAATATAACTTGCCCCTGTTTTATTTGCACGAATCAACATGAGCTTTGGTACATTGGTAAAATCCTTCTTCTCTGATCTTTAGGGAGAAATAAGAGGTAGATTCAACAATCATTCATTTCTTCTCCTGCCTGGAACTTATTCTCTGCTCCCTGTCAAAACCACAGTTAAGGCCCATAATACAGCAAATAAAAGGAACAATAGATGTTTTGACACAGCAGTAATTTATAAAATAGATGGATGAAGCTAGCAGATACAGTGATGCAAGAGCATTATTACACCTTTTACCAAGACAAGACCATAAGAAGCCCTCACATGAAAAATTATCAGGTCTAAGTGGTAGAACACTCCTGCAATGGTACTACTTTGGGCATTGTCCAACCTCTAGGTTCAATGCCTGCTTTAATGGCATATATGCACAAGCGCAATAGGTCACACAACTGGCATCTGGATAGCTTTTTCCAATACTACAAATACTTACAACACTCAATCTCTTAAAGCAGTGTCTTTAAAAGGCCTAGATGATATTATCTACTTTTGTTTATTCTGAAAAGTGACAATATTTTAAAAGACTTGAGCATGAAACATGCTACATAATAAAAAAGTATCACTAGGAAAAAGTACTGTAAGTTTAGGTGTACTGAAATAAAACAATTACCAGATGATTCCTTAAGTCCAGCTTGCATCTTAGTCAAGGAGTTCGCCTGAGACTGATTGGTATCTTGTGTCGTCATAACTGGATCTAAAAAAAAGTTTAAAGACATTTTGTTTGAGTTAGCAGCTAGTTCATGAAAATGATTCAAGCAGAAGCTCCTCACCTCAGCATTCCTCCTCCATTTCTTCCCAAGTTCTGAGCATATACATGGAAAAAACACACAAGAAGTGTTTTTCAGTAGTTCTTTAGCTCACTTTAGGCAAGAAAATACTAAAGAACAGAGGCAGTATTAATTTCATCTCTAATTTCTGTATACATCTCTTTTCCTGTAGTTAGCCTACAGTCAAGCAAAGCCATTATTCGGAAATATTACAGTAGACTTTATGAACACTGTACTCCTGACTTCTTCCTGGGCTTAGACAACCACTAACTCTAGCTGACTATTTTTAACATGGATTATCAGAACTGCTAACAGAATAAGGATTTCATTACAACCTTAAAAGTCTAGTGTGATCCAGCGAACAAACTTCATTCTTCCTATTAGCACCTTAGTAAGCAAAACAAGATACCTGTATCAAACACGAACTTCAACATATAATACTAATGATGATTTCCATTTTCCTTAACACCACAGCAAATCTGATCCTCCTCCTATAACAGGTTTTTTTCAACAGCCACGTAAGACTCTAGGATTTTGCTTTATGTTCTTGACTGGAGAAAGAGCAGGGGAAGAAGACGACTTGCTTACTTTACATCTTTATGTCATTCTTCTACTAAGAATTCAAGGCAAGTAGATGTTTTAGAAGAATGGAGAGGTTTGTTCCTTCCTTTCTGTTTTCACATTTGGGTGGCAGAGCTAGTTAGCACAAAACAAACAACTATCTTCACATGCTAAGGTACTGCAGGACATATTCTACTGCCACAGCACGCAAGAGTAAGGGACTCTGCCTCTAGTCACACAGGACAAAAAAGGGCACGTTCTTACAGATGCAGTTAAAGTCTTGGGGGCATGGGGATGATAAGCTCTTTCAGGTATCCAAGACAGCAATGAACACACACAGATGAAAATCAAAAAGCTACATCATACATTAAGTTCATTCAAACTTTTTGAGAACTACGTGCCTTCAGCAAAGCTGAAGTCAGCATTCTGCCATTTCCTACAAATGAATGACACTACTAATGCTCCTACCCCATTTCAACACTACAGGCACAGACAACCCACAGACTCTCCCACTGGTACTTTCAGCACACAGTTACTCAAGACTATATCACAGTCATGCCTGGCTTGCACCATCTGCTCTCTCAATCTGCCCAGCATACTTCAACCACTTTGGATCAAAACAAACTAGTCAAAGGATATGATTTAAAAAATTAAGCATTATGGGTTCTTAACAACAGTTTGTTTAATTTGCATACTTTTTCATATTAGACCACTGGTGCCACAGCTAACTCTTCCCTACCAGTCCTTCTCCTAATATAACAATTTAAGAAATCTGCTCTGAAGATCTCCTGGCTTATGACCTAGCCAGTAAGTCTTATTCTCTACTTTACAGAGGTGCTGAGAACAGGAAGAGCTATTATTTTTCTGGTATTCATGGTAAGATTGAAGAAAGCTTCACAGGTTTTTATACCTGCAACATCTTGAGGCATTCTAAGTATGTCATGTATCACCTTCACAGTAATTAAAATCTTCAAAGATTATAAATTTAGAAGGCGCAAGTGCCAAGATGTACAGCAGCTCTATTATCTCTCTGCAGTGAAGGCAGATCACCTTCAACATGGTTTGCATATTAACATGATTCTCATCTTGGCTTTCCTCCTTGATTTACATACTCAGTGAAAGCAGTCAAGTAGTGTTATTTCTTGTCACCATTGCTTTCACATCTTGAGTCTTATCTGTCCATATATCAAACTACACAAACAGAGATAACATTGCACCGCTCTTCTCTCATATACACCTGCTGAACAGCATTAGAGATCAAGGTAAGGCAGCACTGCATGATGTAAGCCAGGCAATGATGTAAACAAGTCAAGTAATTTCTCAAACTACTGAGCCACGGCTGCATGCCTTAGCCTCCAACTGACTTGCATCAGATTTAATCAATAGTGTGGTAGTTTGTAGAGCTTTTGTTCCAAGAGTATGATGTCACTAATTTATTTTTCCACTTTACTTCTGCTCCATACTACAGCCAATATTTGGGGGATAAACTGTGGATGTACCATGCTCGTCACCATCAGAGCTATGCCAGGCTTAAAAATCTATTTGCTCTCTTTCAGCCAGAAAAGCAGCTGAACAAGAAAAGGCTGAAATACTATTTAGTTTAATTTAACATCATTAAGATTTCTTATCAATCATACACTCTGTGTAACTACACAAGCATTCAATTGCATCCCAAAGCAGTGATCAGAACCTCCTAATACTCCCGAGACACCACAGAAACAACATGAAGGACTTCCAAATGCCCTGATAAATTCCCCTCCCTCAGGGCAAATCTGAGAAAAACCCAACCTGTAAATAGAGTCCGTAAAAAGGGAGTGAGTGAGTTCTCTACTCCTAGGTCCCTAGTTTCTTCAGGAGCAGAAGCTGGGATGGGCTGCTTATCCTAAATCAGTCAACTACTTTAGGCAACCACAACAATAACCAAAGAGGCAAGCTCTGAACAACAGTGCTGTGATGTGTTAGAAACTACCCTTAGCTCAACCCAGAATAAAAGCAATGGCTTAAATTTTTCCAAAACAATTATCTAAGTTAAACAACTAAGAATAAAATAGCAGAAAAATAAGTATTTTCTACAAGCTATGTATCTCAAAACAAACATTTAATAGGGCTTTTGTGATATCTACCTGACCAGCTGCCGAAGGCTATGTAACTCAGCTCTCCGGAACTCAGCCATTGTGCACTTAGTACTCACTCTGGTTACTTATACTGCAAGCACTTCTTTTGGTTGAAGAACTCTCACATGTCCAAAACACAGTGTTGGTGGACTTTACTGGAAGACAGTTTTTAGTTCTTCTCCTTCCAAGTAAGCATGAACTTCCCTTTGCTGCAGCTCTGCAGACAGTCCCTGTGCTTGACTAGCTTTATACACATCTGGTTGATAATCACTGGAAGACTAAAATACTTTTCCTTACATCTAAATCATCACAGAAATCACAGTATGAAGCCTCCCTACCTCATTCATATAGCTATAAAAACATTTAATGCAAGCCTAAAAAACCACAGCCTTACCCTATACAAGGAAAAGGTACTAAAGTTGCTGGCTTATTTTTGGTAAAACCATACTCAATATCCATCACCTTAGGAAGATGGTAGATTTGTGGAATTTTGGAAGCAAAAATACAGTATTGTTGTTTGATTTGCTTTGGGTTTTTTTTGTTTTTTTTTTTTTTTTTTTTTTTCGTAAGAGCATATAATTTCACCAATGGCTTTATATATAAACTTAGAATTGCTTCAGCTATCATCACGTTACAATTTTTTGGCAGCAACAGACTTCAGAAAAAAAACCACCTTATGGCAAGTTAGCCACATAGTGACTTACATGTTCCTATAAATATCAGGCAATCTACAGTCACAAAACTTCTCAATGAAGTAAGCTCAATGAAGTTTTGCGTGTGTACAGAAATACACGTGCATATTTTAGACTATTTAAGAACTACAAAGCAAATTTTCCCCTGCACATATAAATATGTATTTTAAACAAGCCTTAAGAACTGCAAAGTATGTTTCCTTTCACATTACATGAGAACTCTACAAATTTTACAAAAATTACCATCGCATGGGAAAAGTACTGCTCCTCTCAGTATTACGGACGCAGGCACAAACATATAACTATTTATATATCGTACACTGAAAATGCAACTGGACTACTGATGGTTAATTCAACTCGCAGCCATGGTGTTTACAAACATATTGTGACAGAACTTCCAGCCTTGGCCTTGGCAAGACCTGTTCTAGAAAGCTCATTTTGCTTTCTAGACAAACATTAGCTATTTTGTAGTTCCTCCTGATATCATTCCATTCTACTCTGCAGTGCCTCCCAGAGCAGGGATTAACAGCAGAATTCCACTGATTTAAGAAATTTAAGAATTAAATTTAAGAAATAAACTCCTATTTCCTGAGTAGTGCCTGGCCCGGTACTAAACTGCTGAAAACTACTACGAGAAGAACAGGACCCAGAAAGCTCAAACCCCTCATCCTTTGTGCATTTTAAATGCCACTTTTAAAACCTCAATATTAAATCCCAAGGAGCATTCTTCACAACTTGCTAGGCATACTGATATTTTAGCATTGTAATCTATCAAGTCGTTCTTCTTTGGCTTTTACTCCAGGATTTAAACGTTTTACTTGGTAAGGATAGGGCAGCAATAGAACACTAAGCCTCAGCCCCTCAGTCCTGCACCTGTGAGCTAGAAAACCCTCCCGTTTCTGAAAGAGGCAGTGCTGAGGCTACGGGACCGCACAGAGCAGATGGGCCGCCACCAGCCACCCCGGTGCGGGCGGACAGCGGTGAGGGGATTAATTCCCCGCTGCCCTAAGAGAGGTCTGAGCGCTGAGGGAGGCAGGGGCGCAGGGGAGGGTCAGGGCCGCTGAGAAGAAGAAACGGCTCTGCCATTTCCCCCAGCAGGGCCGAACACCAGCCGGCCGGCCACCGCTGCGCTCCCCCGGTAGCCGGGGGGACGCTGCGGGGCAGGGAGGACCTTTGCTCCCAGGCCGTGTCCCGGTCCCCCTCGCACCAGCCCGCTCGACGGTAAGGGCGGACGGGACCCGGCCCGCGGCACAAGGGAGCTTTCACATTTACCTGCGGGGCTCCCGCCCGAGAAACTGATGCAGAGCAGCAGCAGCGGCAGCAGGCGCCCCAGGCGCCTCCCGGCGAAGGCGGCAAGCATGATGCCCCAGCCGCGCTCCCCTGGCTCGGCCCGGCTCGGCCCCACAACCCTGGGCTGTGCCGGCTCAGGAAGCCTCGAGCGCACCGAAGCGGCTCTGCGGCAGAGCCGGCTAGTACCGCAGCGACAGGGGTCAAAAGCCGAAGCAAAGCGGCCCCAAATCCACCTATGCAAGGAAAACGACAGGCAAAAACAAAGAGCCAGGCAGACACCCGCTGCTCGGCCGACACCCCTAGGCAAAAGCCGCCTGGTGTGCTCGCCGCCCTTTATGTGGTGGAGGAGGGCGGGGGCGCGCCCCAGTGGCTAATTGGAGCCGAGCCCTGCGCCGGAGCCTCCTGGGAGACCCTCCCGGGGCAGCGGGAGGCTGACAGGGCAGGCAGGGAGACTGACAGGGCAAGCTGGCTGGAGGCTGATGTTTGTGCCTGAGGGCTGCGGCTGCAGGACCAGCGCGGCTGCAGCGGTGCTCGGCGGCAGCCGGCGCTGGCACGTCTTGCCTGGGGCAGAGCCAGGCTGTCCCTCCCCTTTGGTGCTCTTCTGGACAGCCTGGCTTCGACGGTCAGTGGCTCCAGGGCAGCTGGGTTATACTGTATGGGAACTGCGGCTTTTTCACATCTCTTATTTCTAAATCCCCCAGCTTGTACAACAGTGCCCAGGGAGGACCATTTCTCGCAAAAGCTTCTCAGGTCGTTGATTATGGCTTGGTGCAATTGCTTACTCTCTTTCATTCTGTAGTTACCGGTAAATGTACTCATATGTATGTGTACACGCATTTCTTATTGTTCCTTGGTAAATAACTAAATTCTCACTGTACAGTGTGAAATCTGGCAAACTGGCATTCTCCGAAAGAGAAACTTTGTGATGGGATATTTACTGCTTATTCCTTCTCATCAGAAGAGTTCCTTCAGCTAATGCAAAGGTTGAACTTTCTAGGAGCTCTATATCAATGATGCAAAAAGGTCACTGCAAGTAAGCCTTTAGGTCTGATCTTAGGTCTGATGCTGGCAGAGCCATAGGAGTTTATGTAGAACAAATGCCCTGTGCGTTGATTTTCCAGCATTGCACATGTTCATGCTGGGTTCCATATTCTTCAATACCAGCACAATGTCCTTCAGAATAAAATTCTCATTCGTAAAAACTCCCAGTTTATACAACTAACGGCAAAAGACTAGGAACAGGATTGTTTCACTAAGCCCTTGCTGTGTGTTACAGGAGGACCCAGGATGCAACATGCTGTTAAGGAGATAATGAACCCCCAGCGTTTTGTTAATCTTCCAGCCTGCTAAAATTGCTCAGAATGATAGGATTCAGGGAAAGAATCAAATTCAGATAAAGCTTTTTAGGAATAGTAGATATCTTCAGCTTTTAATGGGAAAAAAGTGGCTGGCTTTTTAATGGGGAAAAGCTGTTTTATTTGAACCAGTTAGGCCTGAAGAGATTTATCTCAGGGTGATGGGAGAAGAGAGGAGGGGAAAGGGGAGAAAAGGGAGGGAAGGGGAAGAGGAAGGGAGAAACTGCCCTTAGATAGGAAGGGACTGATTTGTAGTTCCAGTTAGCTCTCCCTGAAATGGGTGAGAAGAAAACCTTACATTCACCTGATTTAGCAGTTTGCTGTGCAGCACCTCTTGGTGAGAGTTTTTGTCCACCTAGAATCCACATGGAGAGATGGAGACAATTTGGTTTTAGTGAGTTGATGTCATGTCCTGTGTAGGACTGGCTTTTATCTTTCACACCAAGTTATCTTTGATGAGCAGTCTGAAGACATGATGAATTCCTTCACAGGATAACATCTCAACTCTTCTTCAGGACTTTTCACCTGCTAATAGTATATCCCACATTTAATGCTGAATTGGAAGGAAACAAATATTAAACTACTTCTGAGGGAGCTGTTTTTTCCTATACTCATGGTATGAGAAACAGAAGCCACAAAGCAGCTGAAGGGGGAAAGGCAAAGAGGAAGCAGAATTGAGAGGAACCGGTCAAGCAAACCTAACAGACCTTTAAGGGTTCCAGTGCTCCAGAGTTTTCCATACCATAACAATATGTTAGTATTAGATTATTCCCCAAGTACTATGGCTGGATTTGGTAGATCATTAAAAGTGAGAGATTTCAGAAATTATAAAGTTAGTGATAATAATGGTAAAGTAGAATACTGGGGATATTAAAAAAAAAAAAATCAGCTGTCTTTTTTTTTTTTTTTTTGCATTTGGAAACACTGGTGATTAGTTTGAATTTTCTATTTAAATTGTACATACGAAGATTAATCTGCTCCACTTATTAACATCCACCATATTTTCCTCTTCTCTCTTGAGCTAATTCTCTTCTCTCACTTCCACAGAGAAACTTTGACTTATTCTCACATGGTAATTACTTGGCAGTTGTGACAGTTGTTTTGGAACAAGGACTCATGTTGAACCATACTCTGGCTTATAAGAAAACTTACATGTAATAAAATCTCTCAGACTGGGAAATTGCTGGTTTATTCAGCTGGAAGCTCTTTGCCAAAATTTTTCATAACAAAGTGAAAGTAAACAAAACTCTGAAAATTGATGTGATATGCGGAAGAGAAATCTGGATGGTAATTTGTACGTTTATATCTCCTTTTCACTATCAACAAAGTTTTGTGTTCTCAAAGCTTAATCTTTAGTATTCATTTATAATACTAATTAATAATTAATGTTAATAATTAAAACAATAAAATAACCAAAGGTCATATGTGATCCAGCAGTTTCCTTGTCTGGAGGTGTACTTTTTATGAAAGCTACTCTAATTCTGAAAAGGTAATTAAAATGTATGAGAGAAGAACTGAGAAAAAAGAAGCAAACAGTCAAAAGGGCCTGGAAACCTTTTGAGGTGGAAGTTTAGAAATATTTCATGAATGGTGCATAACAACTTTCAATATGTGAAGCTGAATCATCAGACACACCAGGTTCTAGATAGATTTTTCTAATTTTCAAGGACTTTAATGAGGAGACTATTTTTATGGGTATGAATTTTTTAATTGTAAAAACAGGAAAACAAATAGTGGTAAATCAGAGTCACAATTTAGAATTATTTCAGAAATAAGTCTTGCAAACTGTCCACGAGATAGTTTTGCAAGACCAGGAGATAATATGTTACAAATCTGTGGACCACTAATCAAAAAGATGTGCCACAAGAGATGTTATGCAAAACCTCCATGGGTTCCCCATTCTGTGGTAAGAGATTATAATAAAATTTTAAAAAACAATGCAGAATTCATGTGTTTCTGAAAGCCAAGGAAATATACTAAATGCCTGTACAAGACTACAAACCAGAATTTTATTTTCTTCTCCAAACATTTATTTTTTGCTTGTTTTCAAAGGATTTAACTAATTGGACCTCTTGGCTGGATTTAAAGCTACAGGCCAGATTATGCAATCTTCATACTCCGCAGTTACCTACTCTACACTGTCTGCATCCTGCTAAGTGGCTGTAAATCCAAGTATCTCTTCCTACTTTCTCAAAGGCAGTTTGCAAGATTAGGTTTATAATCTTTATTGGGAATTCTGCCATTTATCAAATGTTTAATGTATATGAAACAAAAACTGGGGATGTAATGCTTTAGGAACAAGTATTTTGAAGATCTTAGGTTGCTCCCAGTATCAATTACTGAGCTTGTTGATACTGATCATATAAAATCATCAACTGTTAATGTGAAGGTTTGCAGATTATGCAGTATGACTCTGCTCAGAAAAGGCTTTGTTCACATGGCAAACACAACATCATAAGGAACTGATATCCAAAAATTCAGCAGGGCAAGATTTTTTGGACAGAGTTCTTTCTTTCACTGGCCCCTGCTTTCTGATATCTGAACAAAAATGCCATTTTAAAAATAGAAAATTGTTAAAAAATAGTAGGTTTCTTGAAAAATGCAATTTAAATCAAAACCTTATGTACAGACAACTAAAAAACTGTCTACAATCTGTTACTTAAGCGTAGAATTAAAGTTCAGTGTGATAAGAATGCGTGCTACCTCATCACAAGGTTTGCTTTGCAAGCTGTTGCTTCAAAATATGCAGAAGATATTTTAAATGTCTCAAGCAAGACCAGACTTTGAGGGAGGCAGTATCTTTCACTGCAGTAAGGTAGCTGCAAAAAATAAGCCAGCCTCTGATTAGAATACAATTCAAAAATAATTACTCTAAATCGGAATACAACTTGAGAGCAATTACTCTAATTGTAATTATGCTGAGGGCATGCAGTCTCACCTACTGCTTTAGTATCAGTAGAAAGATCACCTTTGATAAGTCTGTCTTTTTAATGAATTCTTCATTTTCCTTTCAAACTTTTAGAAATAGCTTCTCTTCTGTGGCAACAATAAAAAAAATTATGAGAACTCTTGTATACAGTGAACTATATAGAATGGTATACTCCATTCTGCTGCAGTATGTGCTCAATGATCAGCAGTAAGCTGGAGCACTAAGTTATGTGGTGAACCAGGCCTTGCTTATGTCATTGAAACTGGGCTACTTGGGGTAATTCATGTGTGAATGCTTTTCTGCATTTTTTGTGGGTATGGTGGCAGAGTGTAGACTTTGTCTTACCCAGATTACCTTTTTATGGGTTTCCTGGGCTGTGGGGTTTTGCAGTTTGTTTTTTAAGATTTCCACACCCCCTACCCCCCCCCCTTCCCTGGTAGTTGACTGAAACAATTTCTCCAAATTTTTATTTTTTTTTTTAAATTTGGAAATATGAAATGTGTTAGTAATTCTGAAGATACAACCTGAAGATAAGGCAGCATAAAATAAGTAGCAAGTAAAAAGTAAAGTGGCCTAAACCTTATCGATTATATTCCTGGTGGAGGGAAGTAATTCAAGTTAAACAGCACTCCATCTATTTATGAGGCAGCTTCAGTAAACTTTAGAAAGTCTGATAAATCTTTTTATTTTCATCACTGTTCTTCCTTTTTGTGTTATTTTTGAAAGAAAAAAATGGGGTTCAGTGAAAAAAAGGGGGGAAAGCTTTATTTGTAATTCCATTATTTGGAATTACATTAAAATTAAAAAGCATTATTTGTAATTCCAAAATCCCAAAATTTTGAACAGTTTTTATTAGTCTTTTGCTATTTCATTCTTTTCTCTATTAAATGAAAGCTAAGAGATTTTTTTTTTCTTATGACAGGACTTCTGCCAGTGAGTGAGCAGAAGTATGAAGA